CAACCAGGAAGAAAAGCAACAACAAATCAGTAATAGAAACATTAGCGATCAAGGTGGACAACTGTAGAAAATTAGGTGAAGCATTAGCAACAATATACTAAAACATGAATCTGATGGGTAATGGAAAGTGTGTCAACAATATGGTGAGGCAGGGCCGTAGCCAGAAAAAAATTCGGGGAAGGTTGAAAATTTTGAGGGGGGTTTTTTGAAAATTTCAGGGGGGGGGGTAGGGTCACGCTGAAGCAAAGAGCACAGCAGGGGGCAGAGCAGCCTTCAATAGCCTGCAGCTCCGCCCCTGTCAACCACCTCCACCAAGTCTGGCCTCCTTAATGAGAGCATTCAACACACACACACCCAACTTGGTTGCTTCGCTACATCGGCTATTGCTGCAAGTAATGACAGTGTGAATAAATTGTCAATATTTGCTTGAGATAGTGCTTGCAGTTCTGGAGGGACTCTTAATTTTTTGCATCTCATAGACTTAGCATGGGGATTTGGTTAACCAGTTAAAATTCATGAGTAAACCAGGTTTTTTTTAAACTGAAAAATTTCGTAGTTCACCTACGTCCAGAGAGCACTGTGGACTCAAACAATGACGGATCTGGACCAAACTTGGCATGAGTACTCTATATGTCCAAATATGAATATGGATGGAGTTTGGAGAACATAGACCTTGAAATTTGGGAGTTGTAGTTACAGGGATTTATAGTTCACCTACAATCAAAGAGCATTCTAAACCCCACGAACGACAGAATTGGGGTAAACTTCCCACACAGAACCCCCATGACCAACAGAAAATACTTAAGGCCATGCAGTCCAACTCTCTTCACCAGGGCAAGAATATGTAATCAGAGCCCTCCTGACAAAGAGCCATCCAGCTATAGATATAGATAGATATATATGACTAGCCATCCCCTGCCATGCGCTGCTGTGGCCCACATGGGGGTTCTGTGTGGGAGGTTTGCCCCAATTCCATCGTTGGTGGAGTGTTCAGAATGCTCTGTGATTGTAGGTGAACTATAAATCCCAGCAACTACAACTCCCAAATGTCAAGATCTATTTTCCCCAAACTCCACCAGTGTTCACATTTGGGCATATTGAGTATTCGTGTAGAGTTTGGTCCAGATCCATCATTGTTTGAGTCCGCAGTGATCTCTGGATGTAGGTGAACTACAACTCCAAAACCAAAGGACACTGCCCACCAAACCCTTCCAGTATTTTCTGTTGGTCATGGGAGAACTGTGTGCCAAGTTTGGTTCAATTCCATCATTGGTGCAGTTCAGAATGCTCTTTGATTGTAGGTGAACTATAAATCCCAGCAACTACAAATCTCAAATTACAAAATTATTATTTTTTAAGTGATGGTCACTCCTTGGGTTAGTAGGTGTCTTGTGGCCAAATTTGGCGGCAATTTGTCCAGTGGTTTTTGAGTTATGCTAATACCACAAACGAACATTACATTTTTATTTATATAGACTAGGCATCTCCTGCCACGCGTTGCTGTGGCCCAGTCTGGTAATCTGGAAAATAAAGAAATGAGAAAGTGTTGATTTCTAATATGTGTAATTTCTTTCTGTTTGTGGGTAAACTGTATTTGATTACATTTTCTTGCCGTGGTGAAGGGAGTTGGACTGCGTGGCCTTAAGTATTTTCTGGTGGTCATGGGGGTTCTGTGTGGGAAGTTTGCCCCATTTCTGTCGTTTGTGGGTTTCAGAATGCTCTTTAATTGTAGTGAACTATAAATCCCAGTAACTACAAATCCCAAATGTAAAGGTCTATTTCCTCCAAACTCCATCTGTGTTCATATTTAGGCATATGGAATATTTGTGTCAAGTTTGGTCCAGATCCATCATTGTTTGAGTCCCCAGTGCTCTCTGGATGTAGGTGAACTACAACTCCCAAACTCAAGGTCAATGCCCACCAAACCCTTCCAGTGTGTTCTGTTGGTCATGGAAGTCCTGTGTGCCATGTGTGGTTGAATTCCATCATTGGTGGAGTTCAGAATGCTCTTTGATTGTAGATGAACTATAAATCCCAGTAACTACAACTCGCAAATGTCAAGGTCTATTTCCCCCACGTTCCATCTGTCTTCATATTTGGGCATATGGAGTATTCGTGCCAAGTTTGGTCCAGATCTATCATTATTTGAGTCCACAGTGCTCTCTGGATGTAGGTGAACTACAACTCCCAAACTCAAGGTCAATGCCCACCAAATCCTTTTAGTATTTTCTGTTGTTCATGGGAGTTCTGTGTGCCATGTTTGGTTGAATTCCATCATTGGTGGAGTTCAGAATGCTCTCTGATTGCAGGTGAACTATAAATCCCAGCAACTACAATGACAAAATCATTTTTTTGAGTGAAGGACATACATTGGGTAGTTAGGTGTCTTGTGTCCAAATTTGGTGTCAATTCATCCAGTGGTTTTTGAATTATGTTAATCCCACAAACAAACAATACATTTTTATTTATATTGATAGATTCACACAGAGAGAGATATAGTTTCATAAATTTGAAAGGGATCCCTAAAGAAGAAGTATGATATGTTGCATGTTCCAGACTAGGCAAACCAGACAATCTCCACATCAACACTGACAAAGAATCAGCAGGAAATACTGATTACCCACAAGCATAAAGACATTACATATATTAGAAGCCAACACTTTCTCATTACTTGATTTTCCAGCTCAGGAGACTGGGCCACAGCAACGCGTGGCAGGGGACAGCTATATATATATCATAGCGATGAAGATGGAGAATAGAGTTGGGGCAATAACACATCCCTGTTTGACACCCGATTCCACCTTAAATGGGTCACTTTGGGAGCCATTGCTGTCCAAAACTGTTGCCATCATGTCATCATAGAGGAGCCACAGGATGTTCACATCCTGTGGCTCCTCCATGATGACATGATGGCAACAGTTTTGGACAGCAGTGGCTCCCAAAGTGACCCATTTAAGGTGGAATCAGGTGTCAAACAGGGATGTGTTATTGCCCCCAACTCTATTCTCCATCTTCATCGCTATGATACTTCACCTTGTTGATGGGAAGCTTCCCACCGGAGTGGAAATCATCTATCGGACAGATGGCAAGCTATTCAACCTCAGCAGACTGAAAGCCAAAACCAAGGTTACAAGAACATCTGTTATAGAACTGCAGTATGCTGATGACAACGTCATCTGTGCGCAGTCAGAGGAAGATCTACAAGCCACTCTCAACACCTTCGCAGAAGCATACGAGAAGCTCGGCCTGTCATTGAACATTGAAAAAACCAAGGTGCTTTTCCAGCAGTCACCAGCCAATCCCTCTCCAATGCCAGAGATACAGCTTAATGGTGTAACATTAGAAAATGTTGACCATTTCTGCTACCTTGGCAGCCACCTCTCCACCAAAGTCAACATCGACACTGAAATACAACACCGCCTGAGCTCTGCAAGTGCAGCATTTTTCCGAATGAAGCAGAGAGTGTTTGAGGACCGGGACATCCGTAGGGATACCAAGGTGCTTGTTTATAAAGCTATTGTCCTCCCAACCCTGCTCTATGCCTGTGAGACGTGGACTGTCTACAGACGTCACATGCAACTCCTGGAACAATTCCATCAGCGCTGCCTCCGGAAAATCCTGCAAATCTCTTGGGAAGACAAGCGGACAAATGTCAGCGTGCTGGAAGAAGCAAAGACCACCAGCATTGAAGCGATGGTCCTCCGCCATCAACTCCGCTGGACCGGCCATGTTGTCCGGATGCCTGACCACCATCTCCCAAAGCAGTTGCTCTATTCCGAACTCAAGGATGGAAAATGGAATGTTAGTGGGCAGGAAAAGAGATTTAAAGATGGGGTCAAAGCCAACCTTAAAAACTCTGGCATAGACACTGAGAACTGGGAAGCCCTGGCCCTTGTGCGCTCCAGCTGGAGGTCAGCTGTGACCAGCAGGCCCGTAGCCAGGATTTCGTTTCGGGGGGGGGGGGGGGGCTAAAAAATTTTCAGGGGGGGTTTGGGGGGGGGTGAGTTTCGGGGGGGGGGGGCTGAGTCTGAGTGAAAGAGGGTCTACCTAGCAAACCTTTTGTATCATTACCCCAATACCCCCATGCATATGGGATATATTGAGCATGGTGATCAGATCATGATATGAATAAACATAACAGTTTAAATAATGCACCAGTAAGGCCTTCTCGTGGACCACCATGAGAATTTCAGGGGGGGGGATGAAGCCCCTCAAGCCCCCCCCCACACCGGCTACATGCCTGGCTGTGACCAGCAGTGCTGCAGAATTTGAGGAGGCACGAGTGGAGGGTGAAAGAGAGAAATGCGCCAAGGAGGGAGGTGCGTCAAGCCAACCCCAACCGGGACCACCTTCCAACTGGAAACCAATGCCCTCACTGCGGAAGAAGATGCGATCAAGAATAGGACTCCACAGCCACCTACGAACTCACAAGGAAACGCATAATGGAAGACCATCTTACCCGTCCTTCAGAATGCTCTTTGATTGTAGGTGAACTATAAATCCCAGCTACTACAACTCCCAAATGACAAAATCAATTTTTTTTGAGTGAATGACATACATTGGGTTGTTAGGTGTCTTGTGTCCAAATTTGGTGTCAATTTGTCCAGTGGTTTTTGAGTTCTGTAAATCCCACAAACGAACATTACATTTTTATTTATAGATATGATTCACACACAGAGAGATATAGTATCATAGATTTGAAAGGGACCCCTAAAGAAGGACAATGATATGTTGCATGTTCCAGAGTAGGCAAACCAGACAATCTCCACATCAACACTGACAAAGAAACAACAAGAAATACTGTTTACCCACAAGCATAAAGACATTACATATATTAGAAACCAACACTTTCTCATTACTTTATTTTCCAGATCACCAGACTGGGCCACAGCAACGCGTGGCAGGGGACAGCTAGTATAAATATGATAACCACAGGGAAGAGGCGTGGCAGGAGAGCCCTGGGGTGTGCCTGTGTGCCGTGGCTGTGAACCGACCAGTCCAAATCTTCCTTCCCCCAAGATCAATAGCCCCTTCGGAGGCTCCACCTTCCGCGCCTCAGCAGCCTCAGCAGCAGGACGGGAAGGCAGGCTGAGGCGAGAGGGCTCCCCTTCCTTATCTCAACGCCCTTTACCCCGCGAAGCAGGCGAAGACCTCGCTCTCTCTGCGCATGCGGGAAGAGAACCCCACGTAAGTCTCCTGTCATGGACACCCATCATCTGGAAAACAAACAGAACCAGGCATTCTCATGAAGATCGGCTCTATGAGCTGAGAACGGAGTTTCCCGCCCTCCCAAAACCCTTTTCTTTTTGCCTGAGTTTATCATTATTTTCCCTCTGGTGGCTATTTCCTCCTCCTTCCTTTTGGTTGTCTCTTCTCCACAGTGTGTATCCCAGCAATTCTCAGGCTGTTGACTGAGGACCCCTATAATCCAGTTCCTGGATCTACAGCAGTGTTTCTCAACCTGGGGGGGGTTGCCTGGGGGTGTGAGGGGGTGTCAGAGGGGTCGCCAAAGATAATTAGAAAACACAATATTTTCTGTCGGTCGTGGGGGTTCCATGTGAGAAGTTTGGCCCAGTTCTATCATTGGTGGAGTTCAGAATGCTCTTTGATTTTTGGTCGTGTCAGGAGTGACCTGAGAAACTGCAAGTCGCTTCTGGTGTGAGAGAATTGGCCGTCTGCAAGGACGTTGCCCAGGGACGCCCGGATGATTTGATGTTTTATCATCCTTGTGGGAGGCTTCTCTCATGTCCCCACATGAGGAGCTGGAGCTGATAGAGGGAGCTCGTCCACCTCTCCCCGGATTCGAACCTGCAACCTGTTGGTCTTCAGTCCTGCCGGCACAGGGGTTTAACCCACTGCGCCACCAGGGGCTTGCTCTTTGATTATAGGTGAAGGAAGATCGATGCTTTTGAGCTGTTGTGTTGGAGGAAAATTCTGAGAGTGCCTTGGACTGCGAGAAGATCCAACCAGTCCATCCTCCAGGAAATAAAGCCTGACTGCTCATTGGAGGGAAGGATACTAGAGACAAAGTTGAAGTACTTTGGCCACATCATGAGGAGACAGCAAAGCCTAGAGAAGACAATTATGCTGGGGAAAGTGGAAGGCAAAAGGAAGAGGGGCTGACCAAGGACAAGATGGATGGATGGCATCCTTGAAGTGACTGGACTGACCTTGAAGGAGCTGGGGGTGGTGATGGCCGACAGGGAGCTCTGGCGTGCGCTGGTCCGTGAGGTCACGAAGAGTCGGAGACGACTGAATGAATGAACAATAACAAACAACTCCCAAATGTCAAGGTCTATCTTCCCCAAACCCCACTAGTGTCCACATTTGGGCATATTGAGTATTTATTCATACCAAGTTTGGTCCAGATGCATCATGTGCTCTCTGGATGTAGGTGAACTACAACTCCAAAATCCAAGGTCAATGCCCACCAAACCCTTCTGGTATTTTCTGGGTTGGTCATGGTAGCTCTGTGTCCCAAGTTTGGTTCAATTCTGTCATTGGTGGAATTCAGAATGCCCTTTAATACTGTAGGTGACCTATAAATCCCAGCAACTACAAGTGCTGAACCTGACTCAGCACATAGAAGATGGCTTTGAAAAGCAGCAGATCACAGGAGCTGTCTTCATAGACCTGTCAGCAGCTTATGATACTGTGAACCACCACCTCCTCCTGAGAAAAATGTATAATATCACAAAGGACTACCATCTCACCCGCCTCATAGGAAACCTGCTACAAAACAGGAGCTTTTTTGTTGAGTTCCAGGGCCAGAGAAGCAGATGGCGGAAACAGAAGAACGGCCTGCCTCAGGGGAGCGTGCTTGCCCCATCCATGTTCAACATCTACACAAATGACCAGCCACTGCCAGAAGGGACAGAGAGCTTCATCTATGCTGATGATCGTGCCATTACCGCTCAAGCAGGGAGCTTTGAGATGGTTGAACAGAAGCTCTCCGAAGCTCTAGGTGCTCTTACTGCCTATTACAGGGAAAACCAACTGATTCCTAATCCATCTAAAACACAGACATGTGCCTTTCACCTTAAGAACAGACAAGCATCCCGAGCTCTGAGGATTACCTGGGAAGGAATCCCACTGGAGCATTGCAGCGCACCCAAATACCTGGGAGTCACTCTGGACCGTGCTCTGACCTACAAGAAGCACTGCCTGAACATCAAGCAAAAAGTGGGTGCTAGAAACAATATCATACGAAAGCTGACTGGCACAACCTGGGGATCACAACCAGACACAGTGAAGACATCTGCCCTTGTGCTATGCTACTCTGCTGCTGAGTACGCATGCCCAGTGTGGAACACATCTCACCACACTAAAACAGTGGATGTGGCTCTTAATGAGACATGCCGCATTATCAGGGGTGTCTGCGCCCTACACCACTGGAGAAATTACACTGCTTAGCCGGTATTGCACCACCTGACATCCGCCGGGAAGTTGCAGCCAATAGTGAAAGACCAAGGCAGAGACATCTCCAGCTCATCCCTTGTTTGGGTATCAGCCAGCACGTCAACGACTTAAATCAAGAAATAGTTTTCTTAGATCTACAGAGACACTCACTGGAACACCTCAGCAAGCAAGAGTTCAAAAGTGGCAGGCTCAAACCCAGCATCTCAATCCGTGGGTGATACCAGATGAGAGACTCCCCCCTGGGCACACAGAAGACTGGGTGACTTGGAAGGCGCTGAAAAGACTGCGCTCTGGCACCACGAGATGCAGAGCCAATCTTAAGAAATGGGGCTACAAAGTGGAATCCACGACATGCGAGTGTGGAGAAGAGCAAACCACTGACCACCTGCTGCAATGCAACCTGAGCCCTGCCACATGCACAATGGAGGACCTTCTTGCGGCTACACCAGAAGCACTCCAAGTGGCCAGATACTGGTCAAAGGACATTTAATCCACTACCAAACTCAAAAATTTTGTATTTTGTCTGTTTGTTTGCTTTGTTCTGTTAGAAATGTAATACAATTTTCTGGTTGGGTTCAGAACGCTCTTTGATTGTAATATAAATCCCAGCAACTACAACTCCCAAATGACAAAATCAATCCTCCCCCAACCCCACCAGTATTCAAATTTGGGCATATCGAGTATTTGTGCCAAATGAATGAAAATACGTCCTGCATATCGGGTATTTACAAGATGATTCATCACAGGAGCAAAATTACAGTTGTGAAGTAGCAATGAAAATAATGTTATGGTTGGGGGTCACCACAACATAAGGAACTGTATTAAGGGTTCGCAGCATTAGGTTGAGAACCACTGATCTACAGGGTGAGGCAGCATAACTTCCTTTTTTCAAAACTTAATAAAAGCCATTGTATGAATCAGAATTTTTTTTTCTAATGTTATAATGTAGACACATAAAGTTTTGTTTTACGTAGTTTTGAAGATCAAATTAGGTAGGTGATGTCCCCCATTCTCCATAAAACCCTTATTTATGGAATGCCTTGCCAGCTGAAACCTGATCTATCCGAGACCTACTTGCTTTTTGGAAAGCCTGTAAAACCTTTCTCTTCCGACAAGCTTTCGATGGGTGAATAACTCGGGACTATGTCTGTTCTTGTTTTTATTGTATTTTAAAGTTAATTGTATTGTTTTAATCTACTGCTGTAAACCGCTCCGAGCCAAATTGGGAGTGGCGGTATACAAGTCAAATAAATAAAATAAATAAATACACTGAGTAACCGATTTCTGGCATTTGTCATGACTCTTGCCAGCATAGCAGGCGTTATGTTGGCCATTTCTTCCTGGATGTTGGTCTTCAAATCTTGTAGGGTCCTTGGACGGTTCACATAAACACGGGATTTCAAAAAACCCATAGAAAAAAATCACAAGGGGCCAAATCTGGAGAGCGGGCCGGCCACTCCCAATCCGCTCGAAAAGTAGGCCTCAACGGCAAAAGCACGCTCCTCACTGTTCCAATGCATGATGGCGATTGAACTGTGTCAGGACAAAACTTTATACTCCCGCCTCTCGAACGAGACCACTAGCGCTCCACTACGTCTTCTTCAACCGACTGAATGGTGCGCATTTTTAAAAAGGAAGTTATGCTGCCTCACCCTGTACTTTCAACTGGATTATATGAGTGTATATTGCCATATTAAACATGAGCCAACAATATGATGCTGCAGCAAAAAAAAAGCCAATGGGATTTTGGCCTGCGTCAATAGGAGTCTAGTGTCTAGATCCAGGGAAGTCATACTACCCCTCTATTCATAGAATCATAGAATCAAAGAGTTGGAAGAGACCTCATGGGCCATCCAGTCCAACCCCCTGCCAAGAAGCAGGAATATTGCATTCAAATCACCCCTGACAGATGGCCATCCAGCCTCTGTTTAAAAGCTTCCTTGGTTAGACCACACCTGGAATATTGTGTCCAATTCTGGGCACCACAATTCAAGAGAGATATTGACAAGCTGGAATGTGTCCAGAGGAGGTGACTAAAAATGATCAAGGGTCTGGAGAACAAGCCCTATGAGGAAGCGGCTTAAGGAGCTGGGCATGTTTAGCCTGAAGAAGAGAAGGCTGAGAGGAGACATGATAGCCATGTATAAATACGTGGGAGGAGGGAGCAAGCTTGTTTTCTGCTGCCCTGGAGACTGGATGCAGAACAATTGCTTCATTAATTTTCCTTTGATTATTATCTTCCCGAGCCATCACACCGTCGAAAAGTTGATTGTGTTTGAAATAGACTTACAGGTTGCCTCAGCGCACATCTTCTCTGTGGTTCTTCTCGGAATTAAAAGTGAGCTGGGTCGGCAGTATGTGCGGAGATTAGCACATTTCCTACTCCTCGATCCGCGTTGCCTATGGCACTCTTGCCGGGCCCTCTCGAACCTCTCCCTTGTGGGACAATGATGCTTGGGAAAATGGAAGGAAAAAGGAAGAGGGCCCGACCAAGGGCAAGATTTATTTATTTATTTATTTATTTACTTTGCTTGTATACCGCAGTTTCTCAGCCCGTAGGCGACTCAACGCGGTTCACAACAAGAACAAAAGTCAATTGAACAACAATATTTAAAACCATTAACAGCATAATATACAAAATAATGACACATCAATAACAACACATCAACGTCTCGTAACTAAAATCGTGATCCAATTCGTCATCCATAATTCCGTTTCCTATATTCATCGTTCATTGCACTATTTATCCGAACGCCTGTTCAAACAGCCAGGTTTTTAGTTTTCTTCGAAACACCATTAACGAAGGGGCTGATCTAATGTCCATGGGAAGGGCGTTCCACAGCCGAGGGGCCACCACAGAGAAGGCCCTGTCTCTCGTCCCCGCCAGCCGCACCTGTGAAGCAGGCGGGATCGAGAGCAGGGCCTCCCCAGAAGATCTTAGAGTCCTGGTGGGTTCATAGGCAGAGATACGTTCGGATAGGTAGCTTGGGCCAGAACCGTTTAGGGCTTTATAGGCCAACGCCAGCACTTTGAATTGAGCCCGGTAGCAAATCGGCAGCCAGTGGAGCTGGTGCAGCAGAGGAGTTGTATGCTCCCTGCGCTCCGCTCCTGTTAGTATCATGGCTGCCGAGCGTTGGACTAATTGGAGCTTCCGGGCCGTCTTCAAAGGCAACCCCACGTAGAGAGCGTTGCAGTAGTCTAAACGGGATGTAACCAGAGCATGGACTACCGTGGCCAAGTCAGACTTCCCAAGGTACGGGCGCAGCTGGCGCACAAGCTTTAGCTGTGCAAATGCTCCCCTGGTCACTGCCGAAACCTGAATATGAATCGTCATGTAAATTTTATTGGATAGCTAAGGATACCATGTGTGGATTGTATCCTTGGCTTGACTCTGAAGGAGCTGGGGGTGATGACAGTCGACAGGGAGCTCTGGCCTGGGCTGATCCATGAGGTCACGAAGAGTCGGAAACGACTGAATGAATAAACAACAACAAACAAAATTGAACTATCCTGGTTCAGTGCAATGGCATCCTGGGAGTTGTATTTTACAAGGTCTTTCCATATTTTAGTTCCCATGGACCAATAATGGTCTGTGGACCACAGATTGGGAACCATTGCTCATTGATCAGATTTGCTTAATGCTTTAACATTAAGAGATATTTGTTTACAAGAATGAGACAAAGCAGATAAAATTGTAGGCCTTTCTAGGGATTTGTCATCAAGCTTTATTGAGCAGGATTCTACCAAAATAGGAAAATGGTACAGGCAAGGATCTCCCCTGCTCCTGACTTCAAGAAAATGGTAGAGCAGTGTTTCTCAGCCTTCCTAATGCCATAACCCCTTAATCCAGTCCTTCATGGATTCATAACATTATTTTCATTGCTACTTCATAACTGTAATTTTGCTACTGTTAGGAGTCGTAATGTAAATATCTGATATTCAGTATGCATTTTCATTCACTGGACCAAATTTGGCAGAAATACCCAATATGCCCAAATTTGAATACTGGTGGGATTGAAGGAGATTGATTTTGTCATTTGGGAGTTGTAATTGTTGAATTTACAGTTCACCTACAATCAAAGAGCATTCTGAACTCCACCAACAATGGAACTGAACCAAACTTGGCACACAGAACTCCCATGACCAACAGAAAATACTGGAAGGGTTTGGTGGGCATTGACCTTTAGTTTTGGAGTTGTAGTTCACCTACATCCAGAGAGCACTGTGGACTCAATGATGGATCTGGACCAAACTTGGCACGAATATTCAATATGCCCAAATTTGAACGTTGGTGGAGGTTGGGGAAAATAGATCTTGACATTTGGGAGTTGTAGTTGCTGGTATTTATAGTTCACCTAAAACTAAAAAGCATTCTGAACCCCACCAACGACAGAGTTGGGCCAAACTTTCCACACAGAACCCCCATAACCAACAGAAAATATTGTGTTTTCTGATGGTCTTTGGTGATCTCCCTGACATCCCCCCATGACCCCCCCCCCCATGGGTCCCGACCCCCAGGTTGAGAAACACTGTGGTAGAGTAACATCTGAACATATTGTTTATGTTGCATTATGAATAGCAAGACCCTCCCATGGATTCAGGTCACACGTACAACTATCAGCAACAAGAGGATAAGAAATCAAGTTATAGAATCATAGAATCAAAAAGTTGGAAGAGACCTCATGGGCCATCCAATCCAACCCCCTGCCAAGAAGCAGGAATATTGCATTCAAATCACCTCTGACAGATGGCCATCCAGCCTCTGTTTAAAAGCTTCCAAAGAAGGAGCCTCCACCACACTCCGGGGCAGAGAGTTCCACTGTTGAATGGCTCTCACAGTCAGGAAGTTCTTCCTCATGTTCAGATGGAATCTCCTTTCTTGTAGTTTGAAGCCATTGTTTCGTGCCCTAGTCTCCAGGGAAGCAGAAAACAAGCTTGCTCCCTCCTCCCTGTGGCTTCCTCTCACATATTTATACATGGCTATCATATCTCCTCTCAGCCTTCTCTTCTTCAGGCTAAACATGCCCAGCTCCTTAAGCCGCTCCTCATAGGGCTTGTTCTCCAAACCCTTGATCATTTTAGTCACCCTCCTCTGGACACATTCCAACTTGTCAATATCTCTCTTGAATGGTGGTGCCCAGAATTGGACACAAGTTATGCAGTGTGTGTAGCCACAGTTAACAATAGGTTGCTCAGTAAATTGTCTAGAATAGTAAACATCATAAAGCACAATGAGAGAACTCCACTTCCAAGGAATGGCGTGTCTCTCGCTAAAATTGACCACAGCTGTCTCTTTAAAATGTATTGGGCACAATTTCAAATTATATTATTTTACCGTTTTTTTCCACAGTCCGTGCATGGCCTATTGCTTAACTAAATTGGTATGCAAAACTGTACAGTGGGCTACTCTATTGCAGAGTTTATCTGGAAGATAAATAATTTCTGACCACAAGGAAACATCTAGTTAAGAAGAAGGAAAAAATGACTGTAGTCCTTATAAGGCATTGCCAGGCTACTTGAATACTGTGAATGGGTGGTTGCACTTTTATTGTTCACATTCTTTTTTTGTGCAGGCAAAGAGCTCGGAGCTGTACCAGGAAATTGCAAACCATTTCTAGCAAAGCAGAAGCAACAACATTGAGAGAAGCTGCCTCTGTAGCTAAGCTTCAAGAGCGTGACCATGGGAAAGACAGGTTAGTGAACCAACTTTTTATTTTTATTATTTTTGCTAAAAGGATGATTTATGCTTTATTACTTTCTGTAGATCTCGATGGCTCAGCATTATCAGTTCAACAGCATGAGAGGAGTTCCTGTGTAGTAGTGAAACCTAGTAATTCTGTGTATGATTTCTTATTTTACAAAAGGACTCGTTTTAGGTATGTTATTTATATGTCAATATACGATAGTAATCTAAAAGACTGTTTTTATTTAAACAACGGTTTCCCGGCAGGATGTGATTAACGGGTACTTGCAGAGTATTTGGCAAGAATTCAAAGAGTTCTCATGGTATGTTGGGTCTGTGCAGACAAGGAGGGGGAACGGAAGGAAATCTTTCTTGCTTTCACTCTGTTCGTATCACTAAACGGAACTTGCAAAACCCCTCTTTCATCTGTATTGCATTGGCTCATAACTGAAATCGCTGCTCTTATTTTCATAGTGATGGTGTCTGTGCATTTAGTATTCCTGCCCTAAAGTCTGCTCAGGAACAAGGCATTCCTGGAAATAATGTTGTTCTGAATCAGAATCAAGATTACGTGGCAGCCCTAAAGTGATGAGAAGAGCTCTGTGGAAAAGCTTTATTTTCTGGCAAAGCTTCTACAGTTTTATACTGCTCCTTGGCCTCTTGGCCATGTGTTTTTACATCAGTGCAATAAAGAAGAATGTAACAGTTGTTACTTTCATTAGCATTCCAATGATGCAAAACAAGCACATGCTGGGCATACTGTGTTTCTATTAGTTATACAGATTTTAAAAGCATAGAAGCTCTGCCAGAAATGAAGGTGGCATCCCTTAAGTCCCGTCGCCAGGTAATATTTCAGTTTTACACTACTTGGTATGGTTTGATCATGTGAACCGTCTCAGAGCTATACTCCCGGCTGTTTAATATTATCAGAAGATAGCTACTGTTTCTTTCGTCAGTTTATAGACAACTTGTGTCTGCTGAAAAAAAATATTAAAATTATTTGTGATATACGGCTCCGGCCCAGCTTACTTGTCCGAATGTATGAGGGGTATTTTTTAAGTAAGGTCCATTTTGTTGTAGACACTAGTAGTTCGCGCGCATACCGCGTCGTGTACCGGCATGCCTCGGGAACAATTGTGCTCAGTTTCCGCTCTGCAGCTAACCTGTACGGTTCTGTTCTGTGCTTTAAAAATGTTTAAGACTATCAACTCACCCGCCGCATGTGAGGTTCGCTCAGTGATACGGTTTTTGTCAGCAAGGAACCTGCCTGCTGCAGAAATTCATCGACAGATTTGTGAAGTGTACAGTGATACTGTTATGAGTGAAAGCAAAGTGCGTAAGTGGGTACGACAATTCAAAGATGGCCGTGACAACGTCCATGATGAGGACCGCTCCGGTCGCCCTTCTTTGATTACAGACAATTTGGTGGCTTCAGCAGGCGGCAAGTTTTTATGAAGAGGGTATTTCAAAATTGGTTCAGAGGTATGATAAGTGTTTGAACAAACTTGGCAACTATGTCGAAAAATAGAGTGAAGTATGTACTTTCTGAAAATAAATTTACTTTTTTGAAATAAACTTTCGTTGTGTACTTATGTTCCAATGGACCTTACTTAAAAATACCCCTCGTATCTCCCTCTACGTTCCACCTCATAATTTAAGATCTACTGGGGAGACCCTGCTCTTGGTCCCACTGGCTTTGCAAACACGTCTGGTGGGGATGAGGGACAGGGCCTTCTCAGTGGTGCCCCCCTTGTGGAATTCGCTCCCCAGCGAGATCAGATCGGCGTCCTCCCTCCTTTCTTTTAGAAAAAAACTAAAATCGTGGTTGTGGAGCCAGGCCTTTGGCTGGTGGGCACAGCAGCACTTTAGACACTGAACCAGGACTGTTACGACAATTGGAAACGGCTATGTGATTATGTGATTATATGGCTATGTGATGATGTGATTATAATTAATGTTACTGTTTTTAATTGGCTATATATTATGTTTTTACATTGTGTTACTGATATTGTGGCATTGAATTGCTGCCTATGTTAGCCGCCCTGAGTCCCCCCTCGGGGGTGAGAAGGGTGGGGTAGATCTTAATTTGGTGGGAAGGTGGCATATGTTTTTTTAAAAATAAGCAGGTAAACCGTATAGTTAACTATTTTTGTGTAGTTTTGCTAACTTAGCACCAAAATGGGAGTGGCATTTCCAGATAGTGTCCCTTCTCTCTGCCTTAGTTTTATATAATAGAATTAACAACAGTCTCCATTTGGATTTATGTTTGTGCCAAATGAAATAATGTCTTTTGACTATTTCAGCATTTATTTTAATGTTATGGGAACCCTCTGTGATCTTTTGTTTTGTTTTGTTTTATTGTAGTTTTGCCTTTGTAATTTCTTCCTTGGCCTTCCTCAATAGTTGTTCCAAACCTTCGTTATTTCTGGTTAGCAATGTGATGTCATCTGCATATCTTAAACTATGGTGTTCCTTCCTCCCGTTGTCACCCCTCTTTCCTCCGAATGCAATTCAGTTTATAGATTATGTATTCTGTATGAACTGTATTTGATATTATCAGATAGGGTGATAGCCTTGTCTGATTGCCTTGCCAAATGGAAATCATTCTCTTTCTCCATATTCTGGTGTAGAGATTACACATCAGGACAACCAAATGTTGCGGTGCAGTAATTTCTTTTAGTGTGCACTATAATATTTCATAATTTACACAATCAAAGGCTTTGCTATAATCTATAAAACACAGCCTGATATTCTTCTGAAATTCTTTGGTTTGCTTCATTATTCATTGTATGTTTGCAATATTATCCTTAGTGCCTCTTACTTTTTTGAACCCAGCTGAGACATCTGGTATTTCTCGCTCCACACATTGTAAAATTTTGAGCATCACTTTGCTTGCATGGGAGATTAATTCAATGACCCAGTGGTTGCTGCAATCCTGGTGCCCCATTTCTTGAGACTAGAATGCAAATCCAGCATTTCCAATTTGTGGGACACCGTTTTGTTTGTTGCAGATTTAAGTTAGAATTTGAATGGATTCTGTCTGTACAGCTTGAAGCAGTTTTATTGATATGCTGTCTGTCCCTGGTGACTTATTTCTTCTATTGCATGAAAGTGACTTCTACTTTCTAATTTCTAAAATTGTGGTTCAGCAGCAAAAAAATAAATTTAAAAAAATCCTTGGATGAATTTGCATTCTTTCATTTCTTTAATATGGTGCTTCAGGGTATTGCTTCCAAATGTTATAGATTGCTTTACTGTTTCATTGCTTGATATTAGGCCAAATTTCCCTATGTTTGGTTCTGCCTTGTTTGCTATTTTAGTATTGTCACTTATGGTTACCAACATGTCCAGGTTTTTGTATGATCGATTGCTTCCTGGAACATTCACCAATAATTTTAGTTAAAATTCTGTTACATTTGGAAACCTCCCAAAGTCAGTTATATTTTTAGTAGGCTTGGGTAACAACGGAAAAATTTGTTTCTAAACTCGTTTCGTTTTTAGGGGTCCATCGCATTTCGTTTTTTTAAAGAATTCCGAAATTTTCCTTTTAAAAATTTTGAAATTTACAAAATTTCGTATAATTACGAATCGATTCGTTAATGGCGGGCGCGATTGCGCAATATGCTAAAAAAACCTCCAAATGGGACAGGGGGAACTTCTGAAGCTTCCCTCTCCCTCTGTTGTTGACTGTTGGTGTGATAAAACAAACAACAACTATAAAACTTGCACCAGACATGCGAAAATAATTACGAAATAATTTCGAAATAATTTCGAAATAATTTCGAAATAATAACGAAATAATTACGAAATAAATTGAAAAAATTGTTTCGAATCTAATTTACTCCTCACACTATTCCTGCATGGCTCAGGAAGCTAATTTAAATACGAATTAATAACGAATTACGAAATTAACAAACGAAACCGGCCAAGCCTAATTTTTAGTATAAGCATTAAGCAACTTTGATAAAGCAACTTTGATAACTTTGCCACCAAAGTAGAAAAGAAACCAATAGCCAGACAACCAGAGATTGAGAACAACAACCTTCATGAACCCTTTACATCTACTGAATTGGACATAGCTCTCAATAAATGTAAAAATCGCAAAGCAGCTGGCATGGAATCTTTCAATTTCTTCCTCTTCTGTTTCTGTAGTTGGAATGTTAAACTTGTATTATGGCTATGTTAATAGATTTTTCCTGAAGTCTTATTGGTATTGTTCATTTAGACTTTACTTTACAATCCTTGACTGCAATTAATGCCACCCCATCCCCCTTTTTTAGAGTCTCATTTCTTGAGTAATGTTGTGTAATTATTTAACTGATAATGTCCCTCCCATTCCTGTCCAGTTTCTCTCATTTTCCCCAAGAACTACAGTGTTTATTAGGGCTGTGCAAAATTATTGTCAGTCCCGTAAGTCATCACTAACTCGTTAGATTCGTACAAACAAATTGCTATTAAGAATCATGCAAAAGGTGGGGGGGGGGGAGAAAAATTTCGGAATCGGAACATTCATCAATAATTTTAGTTAAAATTCTGTAAGTCAGTTTCATTTTTAGTATAAGCATTAAGCAACTTTGATAAAGCCAAAGAAGCCATTGCTAGACTGAGGCTGCTTGCTGGTTGCCATATGGAAGGGCAGTTAGCTTGGCTGGATGGCAGACTCAGAACACAGCATGCTGGGAAATGTAGTTTGGGAAGGAAGGCCCTCTGTGGCAGACAATTCAGTACTCAGCATCGGAAAGCCCCAATGAGGGCTGCAGTAGCCAACTGTTTACAGTTAGTCTAATAATAAATAAAATCATTGAATCTGCAAAGAGGACTAAAGTAAGTAAGTAATAGTATAAATTAGGCCTGGGTAACAACGGAAAAATTTGTTTCTAAAATCGATTCGTTTTTTGGGGGTTTTTGCGTTTCGATATTTAAAAGAATTCCGAAATTTTTCTTTTAAAAAGTTCGATATTTACGAAATTTCGTAAATGTAAAAAAAATTACGAAACATTAACGAAACAA